CTCTCAGCCCCACTCACCTCACAGAGTGTTTGTTGTGGGGGAGGAAGGGAAAGGAGAATGTTAGCCGCTTTGAGACTCCTTAAAGGGAGTGAAAGGCGGGATATCAAATCCAAACTCTTCTTCTTCTTCTTCTTCTTCTGTATACAGTGGTGCCCCGCAAGACGAATGCATCGCAAGAATGCAACCCTAACCCTAACCCTAACCCGCTAGACGAAAGGGTTTTCCGTTTTGGAGGTGCTTCGCAAAACGAATTTCCTATGGGCTTGCTTCGCAAGACAAAAATGTCTTGCGAGTTCCTGCAGGGTTCCCCCCCCTTTTCCCCAAGCCGCTAAGCCGCTTATCAGCTGATCCGCTAAGCCGCTTAACAGCTGATCGCTAAGCCGCTTATCAGCTGATCCGCTAAGCCCGCTAAGCCGCTAATAGCGCTAATCCGCTAAGACGCTAATGGGCTTGCTTCGCAAGACGAAAAAACCGCAAGACGAAGAGACTCGCGGAACGGATTCTTTTCGTCTTGCGAGGCACCACTGTACCAGTTTCTGGAAACCAGAAGAGGGGAGAGTTGCCCTTGTGCTTGCAGGTTTGCCATGGGAACCTGGTTGGCCGCCATGACAACAGGATGCCGGACTAGTTGGGCCACTGACCAGAACCGGCAGACTCTTCTTATGTTAGAGATGGTGGGACTGAAGCATTCCTCCAAGTTTATATTTCAGGGTGTCATAGAATCATAGAGTTGGAAGGGGCTCAGGTGAAAAGGTCAAGGACCCCTGGACAGTTAAGTCCAGTCAAAGGCGACTCTGGGGTTACGGCACTCATCTCGCTTTCAGGCCGAGGGAGCCGGCGTTTGTCCACAGACAGCTTTTTGGGTCATGTGGCCAGCAGGACTAAACCGCTTCTGGCGCAATGGAACACCGTGGCGGAAAACAAAGTGCATGGAAATGCCGTTTACCTTCCTGCCACAGTGGTACCTATTTATCTACTTGCACCGGCATGCTTTCGAACTGCTAGGTTGGCAGGAGCTGGGACAGAGCAAAGGGAGCTCACTCCGATGCAGGGATTCAAACCACCGACCTTCTGATCGGCAAGCCCAAGAGGCTCAGTGGTTTAGACACAGGCACTGCTCAAAATAAATCAATCCCTAGAGGCCTTAACAAAGCAATCTACAGAAAATACAAAGAAATTGACAGAACTCACAGCAAGATTGGACTTGAACACCACGTCATACGTGCTCTGGAATCCCTCTTTGACAGATTGCATCTGAGGCCAAGAGTGGCTTTCCCATGGCCAAATACTGAGTCAGCAGAGGACATGAAACTCCAGTCACACCTCTCAGATCAGCATCCATCTCACTCTCCTTTCCAAAATACTTTCTGAACAACCATGCAAGAGGGCAACTTAACATGGCCAAGCCAGAATGTAGTAGCTTTCGCTCAGTCTAGGCACCACTTGAGACCAGTTCAGAATGATCAAATCCAATAAAGGAGCCTCCTTGAATTGACATCAACATATGGTTGTCAGGACCATTTGAAAGTAACTACTAAAGGGGGGAAAGTTGTCTAGCCTTTTTAAAACCGTGGCAATTCAAATCATTTCATTCTCTCTGCACACTGGGGAAACTTTGCGTGAAACTCCCTTCCCTTCTGTTCCTCTCCCATGACGGATCTGTGTTGTTTTTCAGAGCCAGCCAACAGGAAGCAGATTCACTTAAACTGCCAACACACTTCCTAAAGGGTCCTTGCAGGGCCTGTCAGATGTATTGTTGGTGGTTTTCAGATCTCCCATGGAATCAACCGCTTTGGGCCGCGCTTGGGTGTCCTGTGGATGTTCCTTTTGGAAATCTCATGGGCATGTGCCCTTGCCTGGGCAAGGCCAGCCACTCCACCCGCGGCTGCATTTGCTCTGCTTCTTCACAGCATCCCAACTCTTCTGGACTCCTCTTGTCAGCTGAGAACATGACAAAGGCCATACATTCCATTTCGGGCCACTTTCTGCACTTCCATTGCAGGGTTCAGACCGTATGACCCTCGGGGTCCCTCCAACTCTACAACTGTATGATTCCTCAAAGGGCAACGTGCTGACGTTTCCTTTGCTTCCAGTCATCTGTTCTTCCTCTGAAACCATCAGACTTGAGCTCATTGCACCTCCTGCCTTCCTTTGTAGCAACGTATCAAATCCAGCGCGTGCTCAGGAATACCTTCCATGTGGCAATACCGGCGTGGGCTCCAGGGGCAGCCTTGGCTGCAAGGATTTCTGTGGCCCAGCCATGCTGTCCTCCTGAGATTCCCACCACTCACCTCTGAGGGATGATCTACTCAACCTGACAGGAGAGGATGACTTTCAGATCAGTGGCTGGTGGTATCCTGAACCACACAGGCTGCGGGCAGCGTCCAGCGACTGTTTTGCTTTCGCCGTCAGTCTTATTCTTTTTAAAGTGATGAATGGCAGAGATTTCTTCCGAACTGAACGCCAGGGATTTGAGCATTCCAGCCAACTGGGGGCATTAGAGGACTTTTTTTTAAAAAAAGAAGAAGAGTAATTGAAAGGGGTTTGCTTGTCTCTTCACCCAGAATGTTAAGGCCACCTCTGAAAATACCTTGGTTTAACAGTACTGTTGAAAATGGCTTAAGAAAGGCTTCTGGGGAGAGGGTGGGGTGTTTAGACAGAGGGCCGTGGAGGGGGGCGGGAAGGGGGCGGGGCCCGATTTGGGGAGGACATGAGGAGGGGGAGGGAGAGGGGGGGAGCGTGGAAGGCGGAGACGGGGTGGGGGGCGCTGGGGAGCTGGGTGGAGGAGGGGGTAAGATGGGGGGGGGGAGGGGGGTTGTAAATGGGGGAGGGGGAGGGGGTGGTAGCATTGTTGAGAGGGTACTTGGGGGGAGGCTGTGACGTCTTCACTCGGGTGAAATTAATGCAGCGACCCTGAAAGAAAAAGCAAACATGGGGTCACTCAGGTGGAGCTGATAGAATTCACGCTGAGCACAGAATCGGAATGAAGTGCGGAATCTAGCTGGCCCGCTTCTTTCTAAAAAGGGTTTCTAGACCTCATGATGGTGAAGGTATGCTTGGAAGCACCTGGAGAAACCCAAGTGCTGTAGGGACTGCTGAAGAAGACTTCCAGTGGTCCAGTGAGTTGGGGAATTAAGTGGCATGGATACTGAGAGCCAGTGTTGTGTAGTGGTTTAAGTGGGAGGTAAAGGTAAAGGTACCCCTGCCCGTACGGGCCAGTCTTGACAGACTCTAGGTTTGTGCGCCCATCTCACTCAAGAGGCCGGGGCCAGCGCTGTCCGGAGACACTTCCGGGTCACGTGGCCAGCGTGACAAGCTGCATCTGGCAAGCCAGAGCCGCACACGGAACGCCGTTTACCTTCCCGCTGGTAAGCGGTCCCCATTTATCTACTTGCACCCGGGGGTGCTTTTGAACTGCTAGGTTGGCAGGCGCTGGGACCGAACAACGGGAGCGCACCCTGCCGCGGGGATTCGAACCGCCGACCTTTCGATCAGCAAGCCCTAGGCGCTGAGGCTTTTAAAATCCCCACTCAGCCATGAAGCTTACTGGGGGGCCTTGGGAGCCAGCTGCCGCCTCTTAGCCTAGCCTACCTTGCAGGGTTGCTGTGGGGGCTAAAGGAGGAGGGGAAGAACCCAGTATGACACCTTGAGATCCTTAGAGAAAAAGGTGGGACAGTGTAGTAAATAAATAACAGCATCGCTCCCCTTCCTCAGGGTAGAACACTGCTTGCTAAATAAACAAACTCGCTTTCTGGTTGTTCTTCTTTCTTTTTTACACAAGGGATGCTGGGATTTTTCTTTATTTTTTGGTTCTATAGATCCTGGCTGCATTTTTCTAAAAGCTTTTTTTATTCCAAACTTTGGGGGCACCTTCAAGGCTCTGCAACAAGTCAAACCTACTCCCTGTATTACTTTCACCCCATTTATTCTATACTTTCCAAGCAGTCTGCCAGGAAGTTGCCTTGGCAAACCCCGTTACGAGTTGCGCTGTTCTGCACCTCCACCAGGTTTGCGCAAGAGAGCTTCCAACTGGACTGAGCGCTCCCATCTTCCAGCAAGACGAACTTCTGCTCAGCTAAATTGTGGCAACCAGCTGGACCTTGTGCTGGAGCTTCTCGGACAACGGCAAGGCCGCCTTGTGACCGAACTGCAACTACACCCTGAAAACCCAAACAGTGGCTATTTCCGGAGAGGTTTGTGACCAGGCAGAGTCCCGAGGGGTGCCTTTGCTATTACAGAAGGCCGCTTTGTTCTGCCTGCAGACTGAGCAGCTGTTGCTGTGCAGCTGGGGAAAGAAACGAGCGGGGAGATGAAGGGGCAAAAGGCAGGGGAATCTCTCTCCACTGGCCACTCTCAGCTCATGGTAACTGCTGACACCACAGCCCTGGAGACAGATCAGGCACTTCCAAACTGGATTAGGTTGCTTGAGTTGCAACCTTATACAGCTGTCTTTAGGATGCTTTTGAATGTTATCATAGGCAGCAGAAAACCAGGGAAAGCATCAACCAAACCAAGGGCTGTCTAGCCTGGCATCCTGTTCTCAAGAGTGAACATCCTGAGGGCCCTGGGAAGCTCAAAAGTGGGACCAGGGAGATGATCGGGGACCTGTTGTTTCCTAGCATATGGGACAGCGCAACACTATCCTGCCTCGGACCATGGGGTATTCCATGTAGCTACCATGGTAGATAGCTTTGGGTTGGCTTACCAGCCATGAATTTGACTAAATCTTTTAAAAGCCCATTCAGCTGATTCGCATATCTGAATGTTGGAAGATTTGGGGCAGATGAAATAAAGCCCTTCACGCAGCACACAGTCCCACTATGGAACTCGCTCCTACAGGGGCAGTGATGGCCACCAACTTGCATGGCTTTAAAAGAGGATTAGGCAAATTTGTGGAGGGGAAGGCTATTGATGGCTACTAGCCACAAGGCTGTGCTCTGCCTCCAGTTAGAGGCAGCAATGCTTCTGAATCTCAGTTGCTGGAAACCACAGGAGGAGGAGAGAGTGGTTTTGTGCTCAAATCCTGCTTGTGGGTTTCCTGCGGACTAGGTGGGCTATTGGCCTGATCCAGCAGGCTCTTCTTATGCTCCATGCACATCTGAAGATTATGCACAGGTTCCCTTCCTTGGTTTTCTGCCACATGCTGCAATGTCCAAAGTGTTCTAGCCCAGACATTCTCAGAGCACCCAAATAGCCAAGTCAAACCATTGCAAGGCCACCTTCTGGCTGCAATGACCCTGCAAAGAATTTCCTTGCAACCTACCTTAGCAATGAAGGTGGACATGCCCTATGGCAGATACATGCACAAGCATTCCCCCTGGACTGTGGCCTTGATCTTTTGCAGGAGCACAAGGGAGCCAAAGGCCACATTGATTTTCATGTCAGCAAGGGAGAGTGGAGTCGGCACATTGAAGTCACTGAAAGCAATGCAAGCTCAACGTGCTAAATGCTGACCAGATCCCGCCCGTCACCATTTTGAACAACTTTAGGATGCATAATTCTGCAGAAAGGTGTTAAAATCCTCCAGAAACACCAGGAGGTGTGTTTTCCTTGGGGAAAACTGATCCTAACTAACACATGGGGCTGCACAAGTTTGCCCTTACTGATGCAATTATTTTATCTACTTCTAACATCTGTGTTACTAAGGCAGGTTGCCAGACATTTTACTACAGGTAAAATACGTACATTTGCAGGACTGGAAAACTGAGTCAGCTCCCATTTATAAAGGGCAACGATGCAACCTGTGCATCTCCTGGGAGGCTCAGTGTTATTGCACATTTTGGTATTACCCCAGCAAGTGCTGCACCCCCCCCGCTAACTAAGGCTAGTTTCCAGTGAGTGCCACAACGTAACTGTCTTACAGCAAGTCAGGCCATTGGCTTACCTAGCCTAGCACCATCTATCTGGGCTCGCAGTCGCTCTCTGGGCCCTTGCTCTGTCCTGTAATCCAAACACTTTGAGATGGAAACAGCCTTGGACCTCCTGCATGCAGATCCCAATGAAATTGGGCTCCTCCCCAGTCAAAGGCAGGCATGGAGCGCTCCTTGCATCAGTGATGGAGGTGAGGTGTACAGAAAAGCCAAGAGTAGGCAGGCAGGCACGAGGTGGCTGTGTGAATTGCCCCTTCAAAACGGAAACAAATCAACATAGATTTTGTAAAATAAGTACCGGAGGAAAAGAGTCTCACACCATGTTGAAGTCAATACCTGATGAACTTTTTCAGGTGACACCCACAGAACCAATTCCCAGGCCACTTCCAATTCGTAAGGGTCTGCAATCTTTAGCTCCCCTCGACAACAGCGGTTCTATCCTGTTACGTGCTCTGGAATCCCTCTTTGACAGATTGCATCTGAGGCCAAGAGTGGCTTTCCCATGGCCAAATACTGAGTCAGCAGAGGACATGAAACTCCAGTCACACCTCTCAGATCAGCATCCATCTCACTCTCCTTTCCAAAATACTTTCTGAACACACATGCAAGAGGGCAACTTAACATGGCCAAGCCAGAATGTAGTAGCTTTCGCTCAGTCTAGGCACCACTTGAGACCAGTTCAGAATGATCAAATCCAATAAAGGAGCCTCCTTGAATTGACATCAACATATGGTTGTCAGGACCCATTTGAAAGTAACTACTAAAGGGGGAAAGTTGTCTAGCCTTTTTAAAACCGTGGCAATTCAAATCATTTCATCTCTCTGCACACTGGGGAAACTTTTGCGTGAAACTCCCTTCCCTTCTGTTCCTCCTTCCCATGACGGATCTGTGTTGTTTTTCAGAGCCAGCCAACAGGAAGCAGATTCACTTAAACTGCCAACACACTTCCTAAAGGGTCCTTGCAGGGCCTGTCAGATGTATTGTTGGTGGTTTTCAGATCTCCCATGGAATCAACCGCTTTGGGCCGCGCTTGGGTGTCCTGTGGATGTTCCTTTTGGAAATCTCATGGGCATGTGCCCCTTGCCTGGGCAAGGCCAGCCACTCCACCCAGCGGCTGCATTTGCTCTGCTTCTTCACAGCATCCCAACTCTTCTGGACTCCTCTTGTCAGCTGAGAACATGACAAAGGCCATACATTCCATTTCGGGCCACTTTCTGCACTTCCATTGCAGGGTTCAGACCGTATGACCCTCGGGGTCCCTTCCAACTCTACAACTGTATGATTCCTCAAAGGGCAACGTGCTGACGTTTCCTTTGCTTCCAGTCATCTGTTCTTCCTCTGAAACCATCAGACTTGAGCTCATTGCACCTCCTGCCTTCCTTGTAGCAACGTATCAAATCCAGGCGTGCTCAGGAATACCTTCCATGTGGCAATACCGGCGTGGGCTCCAGGGGCAGCCTTGGCTGCAAGGATTTCTGTGGCCCCAGCCATGCTGTCCTCCTGAGATTCCCACCACTCACCTCTGAGGGATGATCTACTCAACCTGACAGGAAGAGGATGACTTTCAGATCAGTGGCTGGTGGTATCCTGAACACACAGGGCTGCGGGCAGCGTCCAGCGACTGTTTTGCTTTCGCCGTCAGTCTTATTCTTTTTAAAGTGATGAATGGCAGAGATTTCTTCCGAACTGAACGCCAGGGATTTGAGCATTCCAGCCAACTGGGGGCATTAGAGGACTTTTTTTTTAAAAAAAGAAGAAGAGGAATTGAAAGGGGTTTGCTTGTCTCTTCACCCAGAATGTTAAGGCCACCTCTGAAATATCCTTGGTTTTACAGTACTGTTGAAAATGGCTTAAGAAAGGCTTCTGGGGGAGAGGGTGGGGTGTTTAGACAGAGGGCCGTGGAGGGGGGCGGGAAGGGGGCGGGGCCCGATTTGGGGGAGGAGCATGAGGAGGGGGAGGGAGAGGGGGAGCGTGGAAGGCGGAGACGGGGTGGGGGGCGCTGGGGAGCTGGGTGGAGGAGGGGTGTAGATGGGGGCAGGGGGAGGGGGGTTGTAAATGGGGGCAGGGGGAGGGGGTGGTAGGCGTTGTTGAGAGGGTACTTGGGGGGAGGCTGTGACGTCTTCACTCGGGTGAAATTAATGCAGCGACCCTGAAAGAAAAAGCAAACATGGGGTCACTCAGGATGGAGCTGATAGAATTCACGCTGAGCACAGAATCGGAATGAAGTGCGGAATCTAGCTGGCCCGCTTCTTTCTAAAAAGGGTTTCTAGACCTCATGATGGTGAAGGTATGCTTGGAAGCACCTGGAGAAACCCAAGTGCTGTAGGGACTGCTGAAGAAGACTTCCAGTGGTCCAGTGAGGTGGGGAATTAAGTGGCATGGATAACTGAGAGCCAGTGTTGTGTAGTGGTTTAAGTGGGAGGTAAAGGTAAAGGTACCCCTGCCCGTACGGGCCAGTCTTGACAGACTCTGGGGTTGTGCGCCCATCTCACTCAAGAGGCCGGGAGCCAGCGCTGTCCGGAGACACTTCCGGGTCACGTGGCCAGCGTGACAAGCTGCATCTGGCAAGCCAGAGCCGCACACGGAAACGCCGTTTACCTTCCCGCTGGTAAGCGGTCCCCATTTATCTACTTGCACCCGGGGGTGCTTTTGAACTGCTAGGTTGGCAGGCGCTGGGACCGAGCAGCGGGAGCGCACCCCGCCGCGGGGATTCGAACCGCCGACCTTTCGATCAGCAAGCCCTAGGCGCTGAGGCTTTTTCAAATCCCCACTCAGCCATGAAGCTTACTGGGGGGCCTTGGGAGCCAGCTGCCGCCTCTTAGCCTAGCCTACCTTGCAGGGTTGCTGTGGGGGCTAAAGGAGGAGGGGAAGAACCCAGTATGACACCTTGAGATCCTTAGAGAAAAAGGTGGGACAGTGTAGTAAATAAATAACAGCATCGCTCCCCTTCCTCAGAGGTAGAACACTGCTTGCTAAATAAACAAACTCAGCTTTCTGGTTGTTCTTCTTTCTTTTTTACACAAGGGATGCTGGAGATTTTTCTTTATTTTTTGGTTCTATAGATCCTGCCAAGGCTGACAGATACTAATAGCAAACACAAGTGGTTGAGTACCTATCTGTTTGGAAGGAAATGGGGCCACCCAAAAATAAGGGAGTGGTTTCTCCATATTTGTGGGACTCCCTGAATATGAAGGAACTTATACATTTGCAAATTAAAAGAACAGGTTTTTTTTTTACCAGATTCAAAATGAGCTGACAAGACTCTCAAGGTCCCAAGACTTAGGGAATGCTGATGGCACTGAGGCATTTAGTGGGGCGAAGGGGCAAAAGGAGGGAACTTCTATACCTCCTCACCTGGCACCCCCAAAAACACAAGAGGCTACATAAAATGCTGGCTGGAGCTGAGGGCAGGCCAGAACAGCAGGAGGGCTTCAGGTTGAGCAGGGGTCTTGCCAAGTGCTGACCGCTACACTAAGAAACCCGTTTGATACCTATTAAAAGGATCAACTCTTTTCCAGGCTAAACCACACAATCAAATCTCAGTTTGTTGCTTCTCTGCACCTGGCCCCAGAGGCAGGGTTGGAACGTGAATAAAAAGCCTCAGAGATATGCACCCCCCCAATAAAAAATATGGAGCCTGTTTCTGGGATAGGATGTAGCAAACCATGGAACAAAGACAGTCAAAGTTGCTGCTTGCCTCTTGGCTCAGATGGGTGGACAGCTTTATGTTACGCTGGGTTACGTTTATAGGCGTTTGTGGACCAGAAAGAACAGGGAGCGGGCCTGTAATGGCATCTCCGGTGGGAAAAGGTGCAGAATGTGGTTGGATGTTAATGACCTGATGCTCACCCACAGCCACAAAATGCATCTTTAGCTGCCTATAAAAATGTTGCTAAATTGGTCTCCTCTAATAATTTCCACCTCTGCAATAAAGCAAACCCTTTAATGTATCATTTCTCAAGCAAGTGGCACAAAGATGTGGACAAACTCATTTGCAGACATTTTGGATTCCGCCTGCCATCAGCCGCAGCAAGCAAGCAAGCAAGCCAGCCATGGCTGAGAGGAGTTGATAATCCAAAACATCGGAATGGCACCAGGTTAGGGAAGGATGACAGAGAAAGAGAAAAAGAAAGAGATTAAGCAAATTCATGAAGGAGAGGCCCAAGTGGAAGCAGCAAGTGCTTTTGTATACAGTGGTGCCCCGCAAGACGAATGCCTCGCAAGACGGAAAACCTGCTAGACGAAAGGGTTTTCTGTTTTGGAGGTGCTTCGCAAAACGAATTTCCTATGGGCTTGCTTCGCAAGACGAAAATGTCTTGCGAGTTCCTGCAGGGTCCCCCCCCCACTTTCCCCAAGCCGCTAAGCCGCTTATCAGCTGATCCGCTAAGCCGCTTATCAGCTGATCCGCTAAGCCCACTAAGCCGCTAATAGCGCTAAGCTGCTAAGCCGCTAATGGGCTTGCTTCGCAAGACGAAAAAACCGCAAGAGGAAGAGACTCGCGGAACGGATTCTTTTCGTCTTGCGAGGCACCACTGTACCAGTTTCTGGAAACCACAAGAGGGGAGAGTTGCCCTTGTGCTTGCAGGTTTGCCATGGGAACCTGGTTGGCCGCCATGACAACAGGATGCCGGACTAGTTGGGCCACTGACCAGAACCGGCAGACTCTTCTTATGTTAGAGATGGTGGGACTGAAGCATTCCTCCAAGTTTATATTTCAGGGTGTCATAGAATCATAGAGTTGGAAGGGGCTCAGGTGAAAAGGTCAAGGACCCCTGGACAGTTAAGTCCAGTCAAAGGCGACTCTGGGGTTACGGCACTCATCTCGCTTTCAGGCCGAGGGAGCCGGCGTTTGTCCACAGACAGCTTTTTGGGTCATGTGGCCAGCAGGACTAAACCGCTTCTGGCGCAATGGAACACCGTGGCGGAAAACAAAGTGCATGGAAATGCCGTTTACCTTCCTGCCACAGTGGTACCTATTTATCTACTTGCACCGGCATGCTTTCGAACTGCTAGGTTGGCAGGAGCTGGGACAGAGCAAAGGGAGCTCACTCCGATGCAGGGATTCAAACCGCCGACCTTCTGATCGGCAAGCCCAAGAGGCTCAGTGGTTTAGACATAACAGTCCGTGCAGACATGAACTGAAAAATGTAATACGCCTCAGCAGCTGCAGTGTGAGAAATGGCAGGCGGGGCCCAGCGTGGCACCTCAGAGCTTTTGCACAGACATTTGCCTGTGCGCAAGCCAAGCCGTTCCCTTCCCTCTTCCCTTCTCCTCCAGGAGGATCAGCCTATGGGGAGTCAACATATGGCAGCTGTGTGGGGCTCAGCCTTGGCTCAGCTGGAGCACCCAACCCTGCATTAAAAGGCTGTTTCCATTCCACTGCCTCCCGAATTGAAGCATCGGCCTATGCTGGGGTCATTGTAAATCAAAGCACATTATTTGGACTCGGCTGCAATGGTTTGATTCATTGTCCCTGGGCCTTAGTTGGGGTGGGTGTGAGTGGTCTTTCATGTCTCCCCTTTCCAGCTGACAGCAGGACATACTTTTATATGTAGTAAATCAGGAGGGGGAAAAGACATTACAAGCTCAGACAGATTAGACAGAGGTCAGTTTGTGGGTGTGGCGAGGGATACACACCTTTTCTCCTACTAGCCAGCGAAGAAATTATTCCTTACAGCTTTCAAGAAACATCTGCCTGAGACTCAAAGCATTCCGTGAAGGAAAGGCCCTGCTTAGAGAATAGAAACAAGGCCAACCTTCTCCAACCTCGTGCCCTCCAGATGGTTTAGACTACTATTGCCACCAGCCCCAGGAAAGGAGAGAACAGAGGAGGGAGCCCTTAATTTTCAGATAGGAGCCTGTTTTGGGAATGCTTCCTTTTCGGGGGAAACAGCAAACCACCCCACCTAGATTAAACACATTTTTAGGTTGGGATGCCAAGCTCAGGTAGCTATGGATATTTCCCCTAGGCTATTCTTAAGTAGGGACGCGGGTGGCGCTGTGGGTTAAAGCCTCAGCGCCTAGGACTTGCCGATCGAAAGGTCGGCGGTTCGAATCCCCGCGGCGGGGTGCGCTCCCGTCGTTTGGTCCCAGCGCCTGCCAACCTAGCAGTTCAAAAGCACCCCTGGGTGCAAGTAGATAAATAGGGACCGCTTACCAGCGGGAAGGTAAACGGCGTTCCGTGTGCTGCGCTGGCTCGCCAGATGCAGCTTGTCACGCTGGCCACGTGACCCGGAAGTGTCTGCGGACAGCGCTGGCTCCCGGCCTCTTGAGTGAGATGAGCGCACAACCCTAGAGTCTGTCAAGACTGGCCCGTACGGGCAGGGGTACCTTTACCTTATTCTTAAGTAGCCAAGTCTGTTGCTCAGGTTGCCAGAAGATGCCCACAAGCACAAGTCAATCAAGGCAGTGACAGGAACTGGACAGCTTTAAATCCACCTCTCATGACAAGCGAAGGTTCCCTTTGAACATTGGTGAATCAGGCCAGCTGAGATGTCGTGAAACCTATCTGCTTCACTCTCACTTCAGTCAACCCCACCCATCTCAGATAAACTCAGGTATAGAGTGGGGTAAGGTAAAGGTAAAGGGACCCCTGACCATTAGGTCCAGTCATGACTGACTCTGGGGTTGCGGCGCTCATCTCACTTTATTGGCCGAGGGAGCCGGCGTTCAGCTTCCAGGTCATGTGGCCAGCATGACTAAGCCGCTTCTGGCGAACCAGAGCAGTGCACGGAAACACCGTTTACCTTCCCACTAGAGCGGTACCTATTTATCTACTTGCACTTTGACATGCTTTCGAACTGCTAGGTGGGCAGGAGCAGGGACCGAGCAATGGGAGCTCACCCCGTCGTGGGGATTCGAACCGCCGACCTTCTGATTGGCAAGTCCTAGGCTTTGTGGTTTAACCCACAGCGCCACCCGTGTCCCATGGAGTGGGGCAGCAATACACTATTTCACATCATGCAATATCAGGGTGGCTAAAAATCAATGATTTTTTTTAATTTAAAAAATGGATTTTTAAAAATTTAAATCATTTTTTTATGTAAATCAATTTTTTTGATTTAAATTGGATTTTTAAAATAAAATGCTTTTGGAGGAAAAAAATATTTCTAAAGATAGTTTTCTATTTAAGTTACATTATAGTACAAA